CCAAAATGTTTCCACACAAAGTATGTGTACAATGAACCCACAGGATTCAAATGATTCCGCAATACTGTACGGTTAACACTTTGCCACTAAAACATGACATACATAGTTTCAAATAATAAAAACAGTCCCTACTTTGTAAGGAATATATGAAATGACTTTTGTATTTTCTAATTCGAAAGACGTAAGTTTATCACATAAGTATTGACTTTAAAAGATTCAAATGAAATCTAACTTTCTACGAGTGTATCTTGTGTATTTTTACGTAATAGTTTACGCTATTTCAGTACTGGTTTCATAACGTTTGTTATAATTCTGTTCTCTCTCCTTCTCAGTTCCAATCCGGTGGAAATTGCGCAAATGTTTTCTTGTGAAAAATCTACGGCTGCTTGTGTTCCACATGGCTCTCAAATTAGAAGTTCAGGAATATTGAAAGAAATGTGGAAAACGGTTTGAATTACTTTAACTAAGATATACGCTATTTTACAAATTCCTCAAGTTTTACTTGGTTTAAGTCTTTCTTCGTTTGACCTTGGCAATCCCCTCAGTTTTTTTCTAAGCTTAAAAAAGACAATTTTTGCGACGACTGAACAGAGTAAATTACGATAATAAAGTTTAGCCGTCAAATAGTAAACCCGTTCTGACAACGTGATATTGTACAGCCAAATAACATCATCTCTTAAAATACTGAAAATAGTATGTACAAGTTTTCTGTTGGAAGGTTATGGCATTGCAACACACACACAAAATAAAAATTGCACGTGTTATGAATTGTGGTTCGTAAATACTAACGACACTTGGGACGCATTTGAGACACAAATAAATACACTGAAACAGTTTGGTACCTAACATGACATCACTCGCAATACGGACAGATTTGTTCAATGGACTGGGCTCGAATGATTAAACGGGAAGTATTTGAGGAAATACTGTCGTTTTAGTTTCAGAATGTTTGGGATCACAGCATGTTCTTTACTTAGATGAATGAAATATTTTGTTTTGGGTTTGGACTGCGCTTTTAAAGTTAATGTTAAAGTTTCATTTTAAAACAGGCAGGATAACAATTGTTGGGAGGTAGAAAAATATATCCAAAATATTTGTACTTCCTCAAGTTTCAGAATGAGGTAAAAAGAAGGGACTGTAATGAAAATGTTTTTTGACATGATGTGAGACATCCTGATTGTGACTGCGGTATGTGTTGGAGCTAGCATTGCACGGGACCATCTTGTGGGAGTATACCAAAAATGAGTCCCAGAGGGCGCTATTTTGAAAGCCAATGAAAAGCTCTCCACACACATTGCGCGTGCCCGTTCTCGATCTTATATAATTCTGCGAATGAAGTTAAAAGGCTGTGCGCGCAGTCGAGTCGTGCGCAAGTGAGGTGCAGACGCATGTCACTGTTCAGAAGAGTACAGGAAGAAATTAGTTCATGTACCCTACTATACTTTCCCTTTTTATTTAAACGGATGGCTACAAGTGAATTTTAAGATATGCACCATATTTCTGTGTATGACATGATTTTCTTTCCAAAGCATTGAGGAAGTCAGAAGAAGCTCAGATGCTTTTGCGTCTCAAGGGCAGAACCCGGTATTTCCCTTACCATTTAACCCGAGATATTGAAGGCCTCGATGGTGGCAGTAGCGGCCGTCGTGTTAGAAGAATCCTGGGGGTATAGACTGCTACAGTTACGGATCCCATTTGTGGAGCCGTCCAGATAGCTCGACATAGACAGTAGATCGGAGAGGTCGCGGTACGCGGCATCATTCACATAGTTGAAAACCTCGCGCACGATAACCAGGTCTCGTTCATGAACCCGAACATTTTGGGATGGTGGCTCGTAGTCGACAGAGGGCGTGGTGTGAATCTGCTGAAGCTCCGTCACGTCAAAGCCACAGATCCGAAGCTAGAAAGTCGATTGAAAAAGGTCTAAATATTTAAATGTGCGCCTGCACATAGTCAGAAACTTGGGCAGCTGTGTATCCTTTATGTTTTAACTAAAATGAGGGAGGTTTTTCACTGACATTTTTCATCACAGTTTCTTTGAAGGGTCTTACCCATTGCAATTTCTAATGCATCTCTTGAAAATGTACCGCCGTCTTTCTCATTTTACTTCTCGAGCAATTTCCGTTTTAAAGATTATTTTACTGCCCTTTTAACTTTTATGCTAATGCGAATAAACTTTCTTACAAGAGTTTTCTGGAAGCCTAATTTTGTGTTCTAAAACTGAATAGCAATCTCCTTAGACAGTGTCTTCAAAAAACAGCATAGCATCAGCGCCAACTGCTGTCCGATAAAGCAGACAGTGTAAATATTTGAAGAAATGCACTTTTTAGTCATTTAACCAAAGAGACGGCATATCGCTTAATACATTTTAAGAAATTCCAGTGTCGACATATATAGTCTCTCTCTTTGTCACCGATGAAGCTTGCGTATAGAGGCTTTGCGTGGTAGCCATATTGCAGAGCATTTATTTTGTTCCACAGGAAAACTTTCTTTGCGCATACCCTGTGGAACAAAAGCACTAGTCTGCAAGCTGGCAGCCATGCAAACCCTCTACAGAGCGCATAATCTGCAACCGCTTATAATACATGTACCAGCAGGAGGCGTATATCCCCTGAAGGAAACTGTAACCCATGGCATGCAAAGTCCCTCGTCAATTAACAGTTTGCCTCCTATTGCATCCTTTCGTACTCACTATTCTGTGGATCCCGTACAGAAGACGGCACATTCCGCTCATTGTTGCCTCCAGGGAGCTGTCGTTAAGACGCGGGATTGGAAGCTGTTCTTGATCCTGGCGCACCGTGTCCAGAGCCAGTATAAAGCTCGCCATCAAGTTTACATGGTCGTATAGAAGTTGGGCTCTCTGTCGTGCAGAAGGTGAGACCTCATTCATTAATTAAATCTTCCTGATAGCCTAGATGTCGCTTGTTGGAGGAGTAAGCGATACGCTATTGAGGTTAGGCAATGTTAATTGATCAAGTAAACTTTCTCAACGAGTTTCTTAGCTGAAGTAAACAGACATTCTTGAATACCCCAAAACAAAATTTAAAAGGACACTGAGGTTCACACATAAAAGCAAGCAGTGAATATGCTCCTTGTTTTTATGCTACGCAATAATTTCTATATATAACCACTCCAGATGCCCCAAATCCCACAACTTCAGCGGCCATTTTGAATTTTGTTACAGCCATGATCTGTTGGACCAGACACAGCGTCACAGCCAGACACAGTTACAGATTTAAAGCCCCAAGAATTCCATACGTCATTGTCCTTTAAAGAAACGGTTCTCGCTCTCTTTGAAACAACTTGAGGCAAAAATATAAGCTTTAATTAATCGCAATCGTGCATGAACATACATTTGTCTCTAGCAATCGATGTCGTCTCTCAGGTGTGAATTGACTAATGTCCGGTAGAACGTCCAACTCGCACTCGACATTCAAATACTCCTCCTCGCCAAAGTACCGGTCGCTTTTCTGTAAGATGGAAGCATGGAACATGGCGTCAGCATTACTGAAGCAAAGGTGAGTGTCTATATGCGGCACTTTCTATTTTCTTAAACAACTCTCTCAAGAAATACAAAGTAGAATCGGTACATAAGCCTGGAACTCGTTGTTAATAAATTTAAAGAAAAGAGAAACCTATTCCAACTTCCTTAGAACAAGATAGAGTCAAGATTTTCGGCAGTGAAACTGAATTTGGCGATAAGAAGTAACAAAGTCGGATTACATTGGGTTTGCACATACGTCATTTTGCAATCTGCATTAAAAAAATAGATTCTTCGTGCAAACATATTTCATCATTAATGTACCTGGCGTACAAAGAGCAGTAAATCCTTGGAGTGGCATCCCTCAAAAGAACGAAAACAAGTTTGACGTCACAAGAACGAATTAAAACTAATACGTAACCTCTGATTTGCTTCACAGTTTCCAAGCCAACAATGTTCGTTTGTTCCGAGCGTAAGAAAATTTGTTTTTGTATAAAATATGTATTTCAAATATTTAGACTCCTTAAATATGTCTAAATATGCATCAAATTATACATTAGTTTTGGGACATTTTGTGTTCTGTTTTCTTTCGTTGTGCAACCTTCATTTTGCTACAATTGCCTTGGTTCTGTAAGCGAGCATAATGAAGATGTCATCGTTTGTAGATGTTAACGTTAAACTGCAAAGTAATGATTTGGGGATTCCCGCCAAAACGGCTTCACTGAGAGTGAATGGTGACCGCAGCTTTCTCGGTATTACGTCCGCTCGGCGTTCAATACATGTTCATGTACATACACGCAGTAGTACTAGTACATGATACGTCACAATGCCGCCCACTTTATAAACAAGAGCACTGACGAAGGTTTCCTGGTTTTCGGAAACTTTTCCCCTTTAAACTTGGAAGGCTCCCTTTGTGGTTACGGTGATATTGAATCTTTAATTTCTTCCTCTGTCGGAAACATACCAAATGGAGACCTAGATTTCTTTATTCTTCAGCTACAATTACCGCCACTGCAGAAAATACTTGAAAGAGAAGGCCAATAACCTAGAAACTTGGAATCAGTATTAGATATTATGAAGTGGTCTTTGTTAACTTCAAGAAGATGCTTGTCAGTTTACCACTCCAAAGGAAACAACTCCCAGTCCCCCCCCCCAAAAAAAACTTTAAACAGCATACAAAACAAAACTTTAAGTGTCCAAAATTATTTTAAAAATTCACCACAGGGGAAACATTGGCGATTGTCCTTTATTTACAAGTAGCGTAATACCTTATTGACAGTGAAAGTGAAAGGGGTCCGTGGTTTCCTGCTCATAATTTTGCGTAGCAAATCGCGATGGGGAGCATCTTCATTTGAGTCATTCCTGTTTAAATAATCATTACAGCGACTGGAAAGCAGCGTGGAAAAATTTCATAACCTGTCAGACTTCGGTTATTATTTATGTGAGGTTGAATCCACTCCTATTTTGCCTATTCTTTTTTAATCGTTCATCATAAAACGGCGTGATAATGTTGAATAAGATGATTACAGTAACGCTTCATGTAATTTCTTATACGTGCTAATTTTGGTCAATAGGCCTATATGATCATTTGAGGATTATTTTTCTTAAACCATACATTCCACGTTTTCCTTCTTTTAATTTTAGGCTAAGAACCCTTCTAGTCAGGCTTTTTCTCACCAAAAATTAAATAAGTACAAAGCTTAAGTCTGCCCTAAACGTGACTGTGACTGGGAAGAGGTTTAAATGTACAGCTAATGTATGAAAGTGTATTCGGTTGAACATTGGGTCTTTTTTCGTCATTCTTATCACGCATTGCAGCATTACCCTCCGGGGAAATTCGAATTGATTTTGTCTGTAACTGAGACCATTGTCTAGCGACCATTAGGTAGAACATGTTTCGGAAAGAAAGTGATTTATTTTCTCTCAAATTCCCATTTCAATTCTGGTTCTGATTCTGGTGCTTTTAGTCCTTAGTCCAATATTAGCTGGTACAACAGAGTTCACGAGACTTTGGAATGATTTTGAAATACATTTTCTATGATCATAAATTACGTCTAGTGACAGTGCCTCAAATGATAACGGTATTGAAGTCCAAGCAATGTGAAAATGGAGTACATGTACTCAACATTCTAAAACTTACAATAAGTTTTTTCATGGGATTCGACGAGTGTTGAAATATCAAGTACCTATACCTCTTGGGGAAATATGGATGCTCTTTGATTGGTAGTACTGAAACAGACACTGAATTGATTGCATTAAATTGACGGATTTTTCTAGGGCCTTGTTTTTCAGACTATGCCGTCTTGCACCATACAGTCGTCCCCTTTCCTAATCCTCAAAGGACAAAAGAGGTCGATACTTACAACTATCTCGTTCAGATCGAACATGCTTCTTCTGTTGGTTTGAAGGAAGTGTTCCATTCCCGGGAGGAGTAGCGGCTCGTCCAGTTGATCCACGAAACCATCAGAGCTGGGGCCCGTCGTCAGGAGCGCCTTGTCCACGGCGTGAATCAGACATAACGGCTCGGCGGAGTCTGCTCTCATCCTGGTGGTCAGCATAGCGCCCAGCCCAACGCTGGGCGTCGTCGCCGGCATTGTGAGGGGATCGTCATCGATTAGATTGGGAATAGGAGTGGCTGGTATGGACGTGGACAAACCTACAACTGTTGCCAGTCGACATCCCCCCCCCAAAAAAGGAGAGAAAAATGTAGAATAATCAGCAAATGTTGAGCTTTGTCTGGCAGCAACACGTAACGGTGTTGAGTGCATTTCAAATCTCTTTCCAAAATCAGAACTCAATGGGCTAAAGTATGTCTCAAAATAATAATAATATAAGTGAAAAGCACTCAATTATTAATGTAACTCACCCAAGATGAATACTGCAAAATACATTCTGTATACAAGCAAGTTGTCCTTTAACTCAGGGTATCTTTTCATTGAAATAAATAAAAGGTCGTGATTTTTGTCTCTTTCTTGTTGCTGTCAAGTCTTCAATCTGAGAGCACGGTCATCATCTCTGTCCTTTATATGCCCTCGAATGTATGTCTTTTTCTGTTGCGAAAGCATACTTGTATGAATGAAAATAAAAATAGATACTTTACCTTGTCAGGATTACGTAAAGCCGAAGCCGCACAATGAATTCTTGCATGTATCTGTTTATCAACCCGGAATTATTTCGCCGTGAAAAATAAGAAAATCGACTTCCTACGAAATAGCTGTTTCGTTTTCCGGGTCTGGACACGGCTATTCAGCCGAGACAATCCCAAAATTATCCTCCTATTATTTTATCTGTCTCTACTTTTTAAATTTATCCTGTAATTAAAGACGAAGTACTTTGTGGGGTAACCTGTGAGATGAGGTAAGACTTACGGAGGTTGCTAGAGACCCTTTCCCTGAAAATATGCCCTTATTCAGAGCTCTTTCTCGTTTGATTATCGTCTTCTTACCTAGGTATGTGGGTGGAAGATAAACGTTTATCCATGTGGTTTCGCATTTGCTGAATGTCTCTGACAGTTTGTCCGATACGCAGCATTTCTGGAGAATGTCATATTCATATTTCTTAACAACTTAACAGCATGAAACGTGCAATAGGTACAAAGGCTATGAGGTTATATCGGAAGCGAAAGATTCGTGCGATAACATCACTTTCTGTTAGAAAAACGTTACACGGGTATGTACGCCCCGTAGGCGTGGCGATTTTCTAAAATAACGTGAGTGGGACGACGGCGAAAAAATTGAATAGTTTGTAGCTGTTTTCACCACTAAAATAAACTTACAAAAAGGTCATTCAACTTTTCCTCCACTTAAAAAAATTGTAAAAAGTTGCAATATTTTCCCTTCCATTTTCCCAAAAGGACTGCTTTCTGCGTTCTTGTAAAGAGGGAGTCGTGAACGTCAATATCTGTTGCACTCCTTTCACAAGACGAAGCATACCCAGGAGAAAAACACGAAAGGGCAGAGGAGTAACTAAGGACCTTGGTCCCGGGAAAAATAAGAAAATATTGTTTGCTATTTGCAGAAACAGTCAGGTGCTAAATAATGTTTTCGGCAAAGGCATTAAAAGCAGACACTAAATGAAGTATTTGCAGACTCAGTACTCAAGGGAGCAAGTGGAACATTTGATCGTAGTTGACGTGGTTAGACGGATGAGGTGAAATTTATGGCTTCCTTTGTGAAGCTTCTGATTTGAAAAACAAGCTTAGTACGTGTAAAGGAACTTTAAAAGTGTAAAGGGAATTCAGAATCTGAATTACTGCATCACTTTTTTTAGTAACGTGGTCAAGGGAATGTTGATCACAAGCTCCCGATTGACTTTACATGCTTCAGAAACGAACGCTGACAAAAGCAAGAAGTAACATGATGTTCAATTATGTCCAAAATTAGAGATTTACTGGGAAATATTATTACTCATGTCACGAATTTGAGTGAGTCAAAGTGAGTCCTCGCTCCTGCATGCAAATTCCCGGGTCAGACAAAAATAATGTTCCCTCGATTGTACTTTATGGTGGGATGAATCATGCTTGTGCCAACCATGGAAAGTAAAAATCACCTGGTACTTGCTATTGTGCCCAAAAGCCACAAGCCACATTTTTCCGTGTTCAGTTTTTAGCCTTGGTGAACCGCCTCTGCTAACCGTGGCAGTTGATCACATCTGTGGGTGGTTGTATTCTAAAGTTACCCCTGTTTTCCATTCCCATCATGTTCCTTCTTTCTTCAGGTGGATTGCACAGGCTAGAGGAATATTGTTAGAACATAAATGAAGTGCACTGAGCTGTGAATTACGACAACTGCAAAGAAACAAAATCGTTGTTATACAAACAAACACAACACAAACAATAAAACCAACCTCAAGTAAATATGCACCCCACATACACGGGCTTTCAAAATCAAATATTTCAGTAAATTACAGTACATTAAGAGACCTAAAGCATATTAAATCTATTTTAATCGTTTTTAATCGATTTGATTTCAATGCTGCAAAATGTCAAGGGAGAATGTCAAGACATCAGGTCATGTTACAAATGGTGCGCTCTTCGGCCTCCCATCAACGTAAGTGTGACAAGTGACAAAGTAAGGGTATTTTAGTGTCACGCGCTCAATCTTGGAGTTTCGATATCGGTAAGCTTTGTAAGCAGTAAGCACGTTTTCGAGTGTCCCTCGCCTCCCAATAATTTTTCCTTCTTGTTAATTAAGACCGGCAAATAGCCACCTCCCTGCATGGAAACAAGGAAATGAACTTCTGAAAAAAGAACGGAGCTACTGTGTCTTGCTGCCGACAAAACTGGCTACCAAAGTGGGCTGTGCTGTAAGCACATTTCCTAGAATCTGATGATATCATAAGTAATTTCCCGTTGGAAAAACTTCTCTTTTCATGACTATAAAGACTACTGAAGAGTGTTCTTTCATCAAGATGCAGCCATCATCGTCATGCTTAAGGGAATCAAAATGACGCTAGGATAGCCGAATTCCCAATGTTGCTGCGAAATAAAATACCCCATCTCAATGCAAAAAATAAATAAATAAATAACTGAGCCTTGTGTATGCTGATAGCATTCAATATGAACACACGCAGGATCCTGAGTTCACTGGCGGATCTTCAGGTTGGCTGTTGCTCTGCCAATAATAGGAAATTGAAACCAGTAACGATGAAACCCTTGGGCCCGCCCGCTCCCCTGCAAGTTAATGCACCTCGTCTTCTCAAATGATCGAATACTTGCACATAAGATATTAACTTCAAAGGGGGAGCTTACACGCCCAACACCTCAAATAGTATGCCGTTCACCAACATTGTTTTTTGCGTCCATACTCCCATCCAACGAATTTTACCTTAAGCCAGAAGGCTACACACAGCGCCACAGGTGCAGCGTAGTACTCTGTGAACCTACAATTAGAATAGATCTTTCCCCGGGAACAAATTAAACTCCTACGTGTCGGCATCAGTCCTCCATACAAATTTTAAATCAAGGTTATTTCACAGATAACATAATACGGAAGAGCTATAATATAATCCCTACGCATGCTTGTATATCGCATCGAAACCCAAACGAAATCACTTTCGTCCCGTGTCTGCGTGGATGGCGAAAATCACGCAAGTGCGTTGTTAGACTCTCTCTCTCTTTCTCACAGGAATTTTTTTATGAATGAGTTTGAAATAAACCCAAGCGAACACAAACTGCTTGAGCGACATCCCATTCCTATTGAAGATAGAAAGAGATCTTTTTTGACAATTTCTTTTCAGCAGGAGGTTACAGCAACCAGTATTTACCCCTTGGAAAACACAAAGAGTCCTTTTTCACCTGAGTTTGTATACACATTCATATCGTGGACCTATAACAATAGGGGACAATGGGCCTCACGGTTTCCGAAGAGTCCACAGTTGGAAAACGTGTACAAAATATAGGCCTATGGGAGGTCTTCCGAAAAAGTTAAAGCATGAACAAAAGAGGAACAATAGGGAGTCCACGATTGAAGGCGTTTACACACTTGGGTGTGTGTGTGTAGGGTGCTCTAAAGACTATGATGGGAGCAGGAGAGGGCGGAAGGAAACCTGAATAGATTTTCGAATATTTGCCATCCCGGACAAAGAATGGCCTCAAATGAAAGAACACACATCCACCCTTGTTTTACACACGAAGTGTGGACACTCCTTTGTTGGCCTGTGGTTAAGACAAATGCTCCTTTTTCTCCCACTAGGATAACTCCTTCGAGTTGGATTTTTGATGATGATTTTTCTGGACTGTTCCTCTTCATTTTGCCACGGATAACTTTGACCCCAAAATGCCTCTGAAACTGGTTTTCAGAGAGGGGAAAACATTGTATGGAGCGTGCAAGTCCACACAACGACATCGCACCCTGCATTATGTGGACTTCGTTTGTACAGAAGTCCACACTATGTATGACACACCTATATACCCCCTATGATTGGACAAAAATAATGGACAAGTGATTCATTTACTTTCGTGGCAGTTCCGTGCATCTTCTGGGGAATCATTAAGTTCGTGTATGAATTACAAATTATTTTATTTAACGATGCAGGACAAGTCTTTCATATTCCTGTCTTATCTGCGTTGTCTGGATTGACCATTTGCAAATAGCCAGTGGCGCGTCGTCGCCCTAACGATTGGCAAGGCACTTTTTCTGTATGCGCGTTTTCAGTACGCTGGAGACTATAGGCGTACCCGAATCTTTATCGGTGATCTCACGTTGGTTCACCAACACCAGAACCCGCCTAATGAATAGAGCGGACTGGCGTTGTGATCACTGATCGAGATCCAGATCCATGTGAAACAAACAGGCCCGTAGTGTTCTGTAATGAACCAGCATATTCAGTATTTCAAAAGGGCTATAGGTCCTTCGGGAGCGAAGCCCGAGTGTGATAGGCGCTTGGCCCGCGGATATCGCCTGCGCGGATGACCTCATACGCGCGTGTTATCTTAATACTCTGTATGTTGAACAATTTAAACTTTTACTTTACTCAAGCACAATCATCTTGAACAAAGTTTGTGTGAAGACCTGAAGTATATCGGTTATTCTATAAATTGGGGGTCCATCTTTTGTGTTCCAGGCCTGTCACATCTGACGTATGATTCTGTAAGTTCAGAGCACATTTTCTAATGTCCAAGAGTGATGAATTAATGCAAATTACCTGCCATCAAAAAATAAACAGTTTGAAATCAATTTCAGTGATATTTCCATGTCAAATTACACAAATCAGGTGTAACAAGGACACAAAAAGTGACACATTTGGACCCTGAATTTATAGAATTATTCAATGAATTATTATAATTATTATTAATCTTATTATTATTTTTCTATTTCTAGTAATGAAGCGGGCCGGGATTCGAACGAAGGCCGCAGAGGTGGAAGGCGATATCCTCCTTCCATCGCTGATGTATTGTTTACTTTCAGAAATTGGATATTTTCTTCATGGACAAGTTGCTTGTCTGGCAGCTATGATGAATATTTGGACAATTTTCCCGAATTTGTTTACGTAGTGTTATCATCCTCAAATGGATGCTTCTCTGAGT